CCCTAGAAAATAAAATTTTAATGTGTATGTGAAATGAACAAATTCCTAGAAAACTATCTATCAAAACTGACTTAAGAAGATATTTTAAAAACCTTAATAATTTTATAACCATTAAAGGATTTGAATCTATAATTAAAATTCTTTCTAACAGGAAATTTACAGTCTTAGTGTGGTAGATTGAAAAACATGGCCACTATGTTATGTAGTTAGTTCCATCAAGAGGCAGAATTTACATCTTCACTCCTTGAATCTGAGCTGGCCCTATAATTTGCTTTAACCATTTCTGGACTGTAAGGTAAGAGTGTATTTAGTTTTGTAAAAACTGCCCAACTGTCTTTCAAAGCAGCTGTACTATTTTGCTTTCCCACCAGCAATGAATGCGAGTTCCTATTTTTCCACATTCTTGTTAGTATTTGGTATTGTTAGTGTTCTGGATTTGGGCCATTTTAATAAATGTATAGTGGTATCTTCTGGATGTTTTAATTTGCAATTCCTTAATGACATAGGATGTGGAGCATCTTTTCATGTGCTTATTTGCCACCTGTATATCTTCTTCAGTGAGGGGTCAGTTTGGGTCTTTTCCTCAATTTTTTTTTTTTAAGATTTTTTTTTTAATTGGGGTATTGGGAAAGGGGAAGAGACAAGTTGCTGTCCTTTTGTTCTTCAGTCTAGTTGTGGAGGACGTTACTTACTGGCCCATGTGGGTATTGTGATCATTGCGCTCTTCCTGGCTGAGGCAGATCAGTCGCCAGCTATTGGACTGCTGCTCACAGTAGCTCACTGCAGCCTACGCTGTTGCATAGGGTGACTCACAGCAGCCCTGCTCCAGGTCAAGCTGTTGTTCACCATCTTAGCTGTAGAGGGCACAGCATCACTGGCCCATGTGTGATCCAAACTGGCAGCCCTGCTGCTCGTGCTCCCAAGCCAACTCTTAACCAACGAGCCACTCTGCCAACCCTCTTCTCCCCCATTTTTAATTGGGTTGTTTGTTTTCTTATTGTTGAGTTTTAAGAGATCTTTGTATATTTTGGATAACAGTCCTTTATCAGATATGTCTTTTGCAAATTTCTCTTCTAGTCTGTGGCTTGTCTTCTCATTCCCTTGAAAGACTAAATATTTTTAAGATGAGAGTTCCCTCCAGATTATACTATAGATTAAATGCAATCCACATCAAAATCCCAGCAGAATTTTTTGTAGAAATTGAAAAACTTAGCCTAAAATTTATATGGAAATGCAAAAGACTTATAATAGCCAAAATAATTTTGAAAAGGAAGAAGAAAATCAGAAGATTCACTCCATTTCATTTCAAAATTTATTATAGGCGGCCATCTTACTCCCCGGCTCTTCCGGCAAGCGAAACTGTATCACGAACCAGACCTCATCTCCTACGCCCCTGAGTCTCGCTGTCTCCCTCCAGCACTCCGCTGCCCGCCTCCTCAGCTAGTCATGCTGGGGCAATTGAGCTCGCTGCCCACACAAATGGATTACAAGGGCCAGAAGCTAGTGGAACAGATGTTTCAGGGAATTATTCTTTTTTCAGCAATAGTTGGATTTATTTACGGGTACATGGCGGAACAGTTCGGGTGGACTGTCTATATAGTTATGGCCAGATTTGCTTTTTCGTGTTTGTTGACACTTCCTCCATGGCCCATTTATCATCGGCACCCCCTCAAGTGGTTACCTGTTCAAGACTCAGGCACAGAAGACAAGAAACCAGGAGAAAGAAAAATTAAGAGGCATGCTAAAAATAATTGATTGGGGTTTTCATAATTCATCTTTACTCTTGCACTTGCTTTTGTTTCGTGTGAGATGAGCTACATTTTCACACTCAAAACATGAGCTAAAAACCACCTATGCTCTTACGGTACAGCTGTGTATCGATTTTGTTCCCTTATTTCTTTTCTAACTCAGTTGGGCTTTCATTTATACAAATTTTAGATCTTCTCTTCATAATCTTCCTCTGAAATGGAGAACAGAAAAACAAGTATGCAAAGTTTCTTTCAGATCTACAAAAATAATGAATATATGCCTCATAAGTAACAGTACAATTTAATTATCAGTTTTATAATTATATATAATTTTATAATTATTAAGCTGTTTTAATATTTTCAATTAAAACTCAGTGCAAGTCTAAAAAAAATTTATTATAAAGCCACAATAATCAAAAGAGTGTGGAACTAGACTACAGCTAGGCATATAGATCAAGGAAACAGATTTGAAAGTCCAGGAATAAATCCTTACATTTATGGTCCATTGGTTTTAGACAAAGGTGACAAGGCAATTCAATGGGGAAAAGACAGTTTTATCAATAAACGGTGCAGGAACAATTGGATATCCATAAGCAAAACGATTAATTCATACCCCCGCTACACTAAAAAATTTACTCAAAATAGATCACAGACCTAAATGTAAAAGCTAAAACTATAAAATTTCTAGGATAAAACATAGAAAAAATTCTTCATGGCCTTGAGATAAGCAAAAAATTCTTAGATGCCAAAGCATGACCCCTAAAATAAAAAATTAGTACGTTTGACTATATTAAAACTCAAAACTTTTGCATTTCAAAAGTTACCATTAAGAAAATGAAAAGAAAGCCTGGGAGAGTATATTGACTTGTAACACAAAGTCGATAAAAACTCTTCCAACTCAACAATGAGAAGATAACTCAATTTTAAAATGGGCAAAAGATTTGAATAGGTATTTCACCAAAGAAGGTAAACAAATAATAAGCACATAAAATGATGCTCATTAAGAAAATGTAAATTTAAAAAAAAACTGAAAAAAAAGAAAATGTAAATTCAAACCACAGTGCAGTGAGCTACCACCCACTACATACCAACTAGGATGGTTATAATGAAAAAGACACAGTACCTAATTTTGGCAATGAAACCCAGAAACTGGAACCCTCATACCTCTGGTGAGAATGTAAAATGGTAAAACCACTTTGGAAGGCGACAATTTCTTTAAAAATTAAACATAACCTTACTGTACAAGCCAGCACTTCCTCTCTTAGGTATTGAGCCAGTAGAAATGAAAAACTATGACTACACAAAGACTTGGAAATGAATGTTCATAGCAGCATTACTCATGACAACCAAAAATTAGAAACAATTCAATGTCCATCAGCTAATGAATGTATAAACAAAATGTGGTATAGCCATATAATGGAATATTATTCAGCACTAAAAAAGAAAGAGTTACTGAACATGCTACAATGTGGCTGAATCTCAAACACATTATGTGAAATGGAAGAAGTCAGATATAAAAGACTACATATCTTATTATTCCATTTACATAAAATGCCAGGAAAACGATCTATAGAGAAAGAAAGCAGATCAGGATGTCCTGGCTAAGAGTGAGAGTGAGAATTGACTGAAAATGGGCATGAGGGAACTTTTGGGTGTAATGAAAGTGATCTAAAACTGGATCGTTGTGATGGTTGCACAGCTAGAAATTAAATAAAGTTCATAAAATTGTATACATATCAAGATGAACTTTATGGCATGTAAATTATATATCAATATAACTTTAAAATTTTTGCAAATTTAAAAGTGAAGTAAAAGCAGAATGGTAAGACTAGGTCTTAGGCAAGACTATACTATCTTGGAAGCTACATTTGGAAATTTAAGCCTTAGAGAGATGTAAGGAAGTAATTACTGTAAGAAGAGTCAGGATAATGGTGATTTTTAGGAGAGAACGAGGGTTGAAACTGGAACAGAGCACATGGATGGAATTTTATGGAATGACTGGTCAAGCTCTGCTTCTTTACTTGGACGGTGTTTACAAAAAATTTCACCTTAGAATGATTTATGAAACTATACATTTGTTTTGTGGAGTTTTTTGTATTTAGATTTTATTTCATAACAAATTAAAGGAAACTTTAAAGAGGCTTCTAAACACAAAATCAATATACAAAAGCCAATCACATTTCTATATACCAGCAAAAAGTCACAAAAATTAGAAGTCGGGCTGGCCGGGTGGCGCAGTTGGTTAAGAGCATGAGCTCTGAGCAACAGGGTCGCTGGTTTGATTCCTACATGGGCCAGTGAGATGTGCCAGAGCTGAGCTGCTGCTGAGCTGCCAACAGGCAGACAGTTGGCTCAGCTGGTGAGAGCCTGTGCTCTTTACAACAAGGTTGCCTGTTCGACTTCCACATGGGATGGTGGGCTGTGCCCCCCCACCCCCAACAAAGATTGAAAGCGGCGACTGGACTTAGAGCTCAGCTTGCACCCTCCACAACTAAGATTGAAGGACAACAACTTGACTGGAGCTGATGGGTCCTGGAAAAACACAATGTTCCCCTACCCCAATTCCCCAACACTGTTCCCTTCCACAATTCCCCAATAAAATCTTAAAAAAAAAATTAGAAGTCTAAAAAGATTCTATTTACAAAGGCATAAAAATATAAAGTGCCTGGTAAATCTAACAAAATTGTGCAAGATCTCTGGATGGAAAATCATAAAACTTTATTTACAACCATTAACAAGATCTACATAAAAGAAAACAGATAGAATTCAAATTATGGTACTTTCACATGATGGAATACTAGGCAGCTTCAAAAATGATGATGCATTACTTGGAAGGAATGTAAATTGTATAACATTTCAGGAAGACAATTGGCACTAACTATCCAAATTTAATTTGCACATGATCCTTTCATTTAAAAATTCCATTGCTAGGAATTTATCCTAGGGATGTTGTGATAAATGTAATTTATAAATATAGGGTGATAAGATACATAAATTATTCAGGATAATGTGAAATATTCTATCACCCTGAATCATTTGCTGTGATGTGTTGCATAGAGAAAAAAGGAGGAATTTGTATGTAAATATGTACCTTAAAACTGTGAATACAGGGGCCAGCAGAGTGGCGCATTGGTTGAGTTGGCTTGGGACGCCAGCTCTGAGCAACAGGACCCAGGTTGGGATCCCACACGAGGGCCAGTGACACTGTGCCCTCTATAGTTAAGATGGTGAACAACAGCTCCACCTGGAGCTGGGCTGCTGTGAGGCCTAGGGTAGGCTGCAGTGCAGCTGCAGTGGGCTGCCATAAGCTACCGTGAGTGACTGGCAGCTGGCGTGAGCTGCCAAGAGCCCTCTTGAGCGACTGTCCAGTATCTGGCTACCTATTTGCCTCACCTGGGAAGAGCGCAATGATAATACAAACATGGGTCAGTGAAGTGATGTCCTCCACAACTAGACTGAAGAACAAAATGACAGCAACTTGTCTGTTCTCCTTCCTGCATTCCCCAACGCTGTTCCCCTCCCCCAATTCCCCAACAAAATCTTTAAAAATAAATAAATAAATAAATAAATAAATAAATAAAACTCTGAATACAATTACAAGTCCACCAGGCCACCACCCTTAAAGATTAGTCAAGCTAGTGGTAATGGAGAAGATAAAATGGAATGAGCATTGCTAACAGAGTCACTTAAAATAGTCAGAAAGCTATTAGGGAAATGGGGCCTACGAACGTTATTCCTCAGTTCTCAGAGCTGCTATTACATTGTTAAATATGTTGCTAAACTCAGATGAAGGCCAAGCACTGCATCCTGGCACAGCAACTGCTACCTAGACACATATGGACTTCACCTCCTTCCTTGCACTTTTTGCTTTCCTCATTTCCATATTGGAAATAACCAATCCCTGTTAACCTAGCCAGCAATCCTTCATCTGCATTTAAGAATTTCATTTTGTAGCTTTTTGCCTTTATAAACCAAGCCTTTCGATGTTCTCTCCAGAGTGCAGTTTGGGTTGCTACCTGAATCTACCTCTCTCAGATTGCAATCCTTTACTCAAGTAAATGCTTTTCATTCTTTATTACAGCCGGAACCTCTTCTTTGGTTAACACTAGCATGGCTTAGTTTAGCCTGCCACCAAACACTGGAAAACAACAGCATTAGTTGCCCTGAGTAACCCCAGAGTGCACTGGACCATTTCGTGTATGCCACATATGACCTCCTGGTACTGCTTATGGTAAAGAATGTCAGTGAGCAAAGGATTGCTTGGATACATCAGTTGGGAGCAAACAGTAGCTAAGGCCAACAAAGACTGACCAAATCCTGGGAAAAGAGCACAGAGTTTTGTTAGCTTTCATTGCTGCTTAATTGAACCCTCACCAAGAGTGCATGCACACACGCGCGCTCACGCACACACACACACACGAAAGAAACTCACAAGAGACACAGTAGTAAACTAAGATGTCAAGCTCAGAATGAAAATTATCACCAATCGACGCCTACGATCTCGATGAGAGGGAGGCTCCGAACGAATAAGGCAGAGAATGGGATTGGGGGCAGACGGTTGAGAGGCCCGGGTTCGAGACAGAGAGCTTGGGGGTGGGGGTAGGAAGAAGGACCTTCCCGCGGCGTCCGCTTCGCGCCCCCGCAATGTCGTCTGCTCCCACCAGAAGGCGCCCGCATTCCCGGCGCCTAGCCTGAGCCTCCGCGGTAACGAGCCTGGAAGCCGCGCCGCGCTGCGATCTGAAGAGTTGGGCGGCGGCCTGAGCCCTCCCGGGCAAGTGGGACAGGGTGCAGGGGAGCCCCGGCTTTGTTCCTGGGGCTGGTTTCTCAGCTCCGTCCCCGACCCTGGAAGGAAACGCCCAGAACCACCCCAGCGCCGTAATCTACAAAGCCCAGACAGTCCGAAGGCAGGAGGGGTCGGGAGCGCTCGGGAGACAGAAGGATCCCCCTCCTACGCTCTCAGGCTCACGCCCGGCTCCCCCCATCAGGCCTCCTCCAGCCCCATGAGGACCCCCAGGCCGGGCTGAGAGTCTGGCGCAGCCGGGACCGAAATCTTGCGGCGGCCTTAGAGCGTTAGACAGGTCAGTGCCCAGGCCGGGTGAGGGCCGAGCTGGAGGCGGGAGGAGGCACGCTCGCCGGTCCACCCTGTCCCCCGTACAGCTGCCCGAGGCCACTCACCGGGTCAACTCCGCCGGGGTCGTCCAATAGCACGGGCGTGATTCTGCATTTTTTCATGACAGGCAAGGTGTGGAGCCTCCCTCTGCAGCCCACCCGGGGCCGGGCGATGCTGTGGGGTGGAGGGACCTGCGGGCCGGTTTGCGGAGCGGGGGTGGGG